CTGCAGTATGTTCGATTCTGCTTAATCCTCAAAACAACCCTCTAAAATATTATTGCCATTTTAGAGAGAGGAAATTGAGGCTTATAGGTGGCAAGTGACTTGTCTGAGTTCATTTAGCTGTAAATGGCACCACAAGGCCTTAGACTCAAGATTTCTGCCTCCTTCCTCTACATGACAGCTGCCTCAACTTATTAGTTTATATTAAGCTGTATTCAGTTGGGTCATGATTCTTCATTATATTAAATGTAAATTCCTTGTTTTGCTCAATGTTCTGATTTTATGGTTGGCAAAAACAAAAACAAAAACACCCAACTGAATCCTATCTGGCTGGAGCTGCTGCTGCCTTTAATCTTTCTGAGGACAATAGGCAGGATTGAGGCCATCATAATAAGGTGCTAGCCAACCAGGAAGGAAGCTGGGGAAATCTTCCTCCCAGGAGGTAATTGGTTCCTATTAGCCTAACACTCCACATAGCACTCAGTTAAGAGGCTCCAAGGAAAGGTGTCTGCTCTTTTTCCTCTGCCTCCAGAGCGAAGTTCACAAAAGTCTTTATTCTCCCCACCCCATTAGAGTTAGCTACTTGGGGCCTCTGTTTGTTTCCATGGGGCCAGACTTGAGCATATATAAATGAACTGAAGGTAGACAGATAGCTCAGAAGAAAAATGTTAAGATTATTATTGTTTATGTGCCAATGATTTAATAATCTAAAAAAATCTAACAACAACAACAAAATAATCCTAAAGAAGGGCAATAATTTAAAAATATGAAGTTTAGAAAATTTATCAGACTTAGGGCCCAGGGGAAGGAATGTCTAAGAGGTAAGAAGTCTGGGACATGGCTTAAGTTCTGTTTCTGACTCTGTGCTCTTAGCCAAGACCCTAACACCTACTCCCCATCCCCCACCCTCACTCCCACCCTCCCATTCCTGCATCTAAGGAGGGTGTAGGACTACTGACCACTCAAGGGCTGGGGCCTTCCTGGCGAGGGCATAACCAGGAAGCTTAACCAGGTTAGTCAGACCTTTCTCACTATTGCAGTAAAATAACTGATGTTAAAAATTGGACCCCGTGGCACTAGAGAAGCAGAAAAATGAAGTCCAAATTAGAAAGAAAAGGAGTGGGATCTAAGTTTTGGGTTAGATATTTCATTGAACTTCCAGGGCTGGGCACAGTGCCCAGCATACTCAATAAATGAATGGATGACAGGTGGATGATCCAATGGAAGGTCAGGCCTTCCCCAGTCGTGGTGGACCTGGGGCAAAGAAACCTGTGGTTGAGTCCTGATCTACACGAACTCAGTGATGGAGACAAGAGTTACAAATCTCAATTTCTTCCTGTGCAAATTGGAGATGATACCTTACAGGGTTATGAGGATTAAATGAGAAAATGTTGAGGTCAGTGCCTAGCACATAGGAAGCACACAACAGTATGATCACAAACTCCACTCTAAAGGCTTCTCTGAGGAACAGGGAGAAGCCAGAGGTAAGAAGTCTGCAAGTAAGAAATCCCTTGGCCTTCCAGGCTTCTGCTGGATTCCTGCACTTTGACCCTGCGAGTGGGACCTCTTTCTCCTGGGACCAGCGATGAGGTCGAGCGAGGGCCTGAGGGTGAAGCCCGGAAGTTAGGTGGGCTCTGCGAGCCTCAATTTCACCCTACTTTTTTCGCAGAGCCCCAGTAGAGTCGGCCTGTGAGGCTGTGAGAAATGGACCCGATCCTGAGGGCTGCAGCTAGAACGGCGCGGGGCGGGCCGGATCCGCAGTTGGGGATACTGTTGCTGTCGTTCGTCTTTCTGCGGGAGGATAGGGAAGCGGTGGCCGAGGGAGAGTCGACCGTTCAGTGAAGTCTATATGTTGACCAGGAAAGCCTCGGCTCTTCCAGAATCGCCCGGCCAGACTTGGCGACACATTGGCGTGCCTTTAAGGCGTTTGCACTTAGAAACTTGTTGAATGTAACCGCCTTTCATACGATCTGGGAAACAAGAGGTCTTTCTAAGCAATCCGGGGGGATTCTCCTCTCTGCAAATGATCTGTTCTGGTTTAGGAAAGAGAACTTTCTAACGTTAGATTTCTCTTGGGCCTTTCCTTCTAACAGCAGTTGTCTTCTTATAGTTTAGCTAAAATTGGTACAGACAGGAAAGTATGAGTAGGAGTGTGAGCCTATTAGTGTATAAACATATTTTTATTGTGTCCCTTTAGGGAGCAATCAAAAACTGGCCGCTCAGCCTTTTGCAAGGTAAGGTGACAATGATTTGTTAAAGAATAGGGAAGGGGAGGGCTCATTCGACTCTGCATTTTCTCAGTTGAAAAGCAGCCTAATCGTCGATGACCCCTCCCGGCTAAAGAGGTCTGGGGAGACTTCAGAAACAGGACAAATGAAGATGTTGCACTGCCTCCATTCCCGGCAGGAGGGGCAGAGGGAGAGGGCTGCTTTCGGGCAATTTCACTGAGAAAAATAAATCTATTTAATGGCATAACATTCTAGCTTAAAAATCGGGAGTCATCAGAGGTAAAAATAATAACCTTCAAGAAACTACGGACACTTCTCATTTCCCTCCATTTCCAAACACAGCAGGACGCCTACGTCTTGAGCAACCTACACCGATTCATGCCTTATATTGATCTTATCTCCTTTTTTCTTTAAGTGACTCCTTTTCAGAGGCGGCGGCCAAAACATTAACCCCACAGGGAAAGGGAAAAATCAAACTCAAATCAGCTTGGCACTGTCTGCCTCACAAAACGCCGTGGAGATGCGGCTATCGAGGGTCTATAGGTGATTTCTCCGTAATACTTTGCTCTAAAAGAGTCCTCTGCGGAGCCGTAAGGCAGTTGTCTGTGCTGTCTTCTCCCGCAAATCCCCCCGGAGGAGACAGTCGTAGGCGTTACAAGCCGGGTTAGTGACCGCAAGAGACGGAAATCGCTAATTACCAAGTCCTCTTTGATCTCCCTGGACCGTTTGGCCCTTGACACTAGAGGCTCTTTCCCAGAACTGGACCCGACTAGTGTGTCCAGAGCCTGAGAGTCCGACGTTGGGTCTAAGTTAACGTGGACGCCGAGGTCTGGATCAGACTTTTACAAATTTCCACGGACTCCCCAGATTTTAAATCCAGCAGCTGAGCTGGTATGCTGCTGGAAGCTAACGAGCGCCCGTGTGCAGAGGTGTTTGCTTAGTTTCAGCAACCCGCTAGCACGGCGCTTCTCTTTAAATTTGGGAGGGAGACTGGGGAAATCATGATTTTCAATTTCCACGTCCATCGCCTCCCTCCTTTCTCCACGTTCTTCTTTCGATTCGTTTGTGGGAAATGGAGTTTTCTTCTCATTGCTGGGACTCTAATGTGATTCAGAATCGCTTGTGAAATGAACAAAAGTCACCGGCGCGTGGGACGACTGGGACAGAGCGCTGATGGCAGACCGGGGGTGGGGGCAAAGGCTGGGCCTCCGAGAATAATGGGGAGCTGGCCTCCTCTCCGCCTGGTTTCCATGGTCCCCTTCATCTTCCAGGTAAGATAAATGGCCCTTCATCCATCATCGGCAGCGAGCCCCTTCCCCCAGGCGAGCCGAGAATCTGTTCGCTGATGAAACCTATTAACCCCGAACTGCGCGGCTTTGTGGAGCCAACCGAGGCTCTCCACTGTGGCCTTTGTCCGCGGAATTTACGCCTTTACACAAGGCATTAGCATGGAGCTCTGCGCAGGGTCGGGACACCGCGTGCCCAGCCTGGCGCGGACGGCGCATCAGCAGCTCCCTCCCCGGCTGCGCCCCGGGAGCAGCCTCGCCGAGGCACCTGGGTCACGGCAGGCGCTCGGGCAGGGGACGCAGCCCCTCGTCCTTCCTTGGCCACCTCCGGGCGGCTGCGTTGTAAAAGAAAGCGACAAAGTTTTGGAGGGTGAACTGAAGCTGGGTCCAGGTGACCCTGAAGCCGAAGAAATAAACTTGACACTAATCCGGCTTTCCAGGCGGACGTTGGGGACTTCGCCGTTTTCCCCGGTGACCGTTGGGAGCCGCGCGCTCAACGGTGCCTGGTGCCTCGGAGCGCTGGGGCCCTCGGGTTCGGACCGCCGCGCGCGGGGCCTGGACGCGCCAGTCGCTACCCTACCAGCGCGCGGGCTGAAAGCGAGAGGGATTCGGGGCGGGGCGTTTAAAGGGCAGGAGGATCCGCGGCGTGCGGGACCGCGGCGCTACGAAGTTGGAGAAGGAATCCGCAGGCGTTCGAGGCGCCCGCACTTCGCACACTAAATGCAAACACTTTAGTAAGCCGAGGTCTCGGGGTGTCCCACCCTTTAGAGGGAAGTGGTTCTGCTCAAAGACCTAGCCCAGGGGGACTTTCTACTGAAAACGTTTCCGAAGAGCCCGGAACGCACCCCAGTTCAGACAGGTGCAAGAGCTTTCGTTCGGCCACGCCTTCGGCCTCTACTCTCCAAAAACTGCGGTATAAAGGCCGGAAGAGCTTAGGTCTCGAGTGGAAGAAGGAGCCTGCCTCTGGAAGGGGTCACCTAGCGGAATCCCGGAGCCAGGAGGCCCGCCCCCTTCTAAGCAGGCCACAGTCCCGCCAGATCCCCGCTGCAAGTGGGCTCGCCGCCGGCGCCCAATCAGCGCTCTCGCCGGGTCTGTGGCGGCATGGCCCCGCCCCCTCGACGGCCATAAAAGGCCTCCTCGAAGGTGGCAACCCAGAGCAACGCGCGGCCTTGCGCCCCGGCACCGTCTCCAGGTGCGCTCCTTCGCTTGCTGCTCGCGGCGCCGGGCCCGCAGTCCCCGCGGTCAGCCGCCGCCAGTTCCTCATCCTCCTCAATCCCCAGTGCGGTGCGGCCAAGCCAATCTCCTGGCTTCTCCTCCTCTCTTTTCTCTCCCTTCCCCCTCGGCAGCCGCTGTTGCTGCGGAGCTGGGCCGCCGGCCTGCAGGTGAGCCGCAGCGCCGCGCCCCTGTCCGGCGAGCTCACCTGGCCCAGCCCGGCCCGGCCCGTGCCGGAGCGGCGGCGGTCCCCTCAAGACTCCCTTTGCTCTGCAGGATGAAGAACCCAATGCTGGAGGCGCTGTCCCTACTGCTGGAGAAGCTGCTCGTCATTTCCAACTTCAGGCTCTTCAATTGGGCCGCCCCGGGCGAAGACGAGGCGGGGCACCGTTTCTATGAGATCAGCTCTTTCCTCCGCGGCGACGTGCTGGAGGTGCGCCGGGCCCACGTGACCCACTTTGGTATCTACCTGGGCCACAACCGTGTCGCCCACATGATGCCTGACATCCTGTTGGCCTTGACCAACGACAAGGGGCTCACTCAGAGGGTGGTCTCCAACAAGCGTCTGCTCCCGGGCGTCATTTGCAGGGTGGCCAGCGTCCGCGTGGACACAGTGGAGGACTTCGCCTACGGAGCCGACATCCTCGTCAATCACCTGGACAAGGCCCTCAAGAAGAAGCCGCTGCTCAACGAAGAGGTGGCGCAGAGGGCAGAGAAGCTGCTGGGCTTGACTCCCTACAGCCTACTGTGGAACAACTGCGAACACTTCGTGACCTACTGCCGATTCGACACCCCGATCAGCTCCCAGGCCGACAGAGTAAGACGTGTGACTCGCCGGTGGGCTCGGTGGGGACGCCCCCTCACATCCCTAACCTTTTCTCTCCCCTGGGAGCAGGGATTGAGTTCTAGATTGAGTAACGAATGCTCTGATGTTCCTAAGGGAGGCCAAGTGAATAAATAAATGGCGATGTGCTTTACAGCATATCTCGAAATGCGCGGTGAAAGAGTGTGGCAGGGCTGCTGCCAGCGATTCGAGAGAGCTGCCCAGTTATTGCTGCAGACGTCGTAGGCTGTCCACCCAGCGTAGTTGAAATGCCAAAGGGCAGGGTCACAGAAAATCTGTCGGCGTGTGCTTGCAACTTTTCCCAAGGATTGCAATTGGAAGGAAGGTGTCCAGAGTTTATATTTAACCCCTGATACTATATACAAATTGTTGTGCCTTTCAAATAAGGAAGCATGCAGTTTTCTCCCTCTGTAGGCTGCAGAGAGTGAATTCCCTTGGCTTAGTATAAATATCAAGATTCTTAGTAAGAAGATCCCCAAGGTAGATCCCTTACTCCTGTGTCTGGCCTTCGGAGCTGTCTTTTCCTTGGTAATCTGAATTCCTTCTGTGTTGGCTTTAATCCAACACAGAATCTAGATGGGGATCTAGACTTCGTTGTTAAGCGTCCTTTACCCATTAGCCCCAAAGGTGGCTTAGATTGTTTACCGGTTCCCCAGAGATTAAAACAATTGGTTTTCAAGAAGAGCCATTAAATGCTGGAAGGTAATTTTTATGAGTACTTTAAAAAACACAGCATTAGAATTTAAGATGATTTAAATTAGCCACAAATCCAAAGGGAAAAATGGATTTTTATTTCCTTTTGAAACCTCAACTTTTCAAGATAGTTAACATTTAAAGTCTGCAACTTCATTTGCAATTGGAAGCTTTCTCAGCCTTCACTGCTGCTGTTAAAAGAGGTATTGTTAATATTCACTATTCACAATGGAAACCTGGGTAATCACATAATGAGCTTCATGTTTTACTCTTCACGTTTAGGTACTTTTTGGACCAAAAGAATCTGAGTCCACGTAACTAATTTTTTATTGCTCCACATCTTGATTAATTTTTTGACCCATATTGGAAAATCTTTCTCTCCTCTGTGGCAGAGCATGAAAGTATTATGCTTTTTATACAGTGGTATATGAAACTTCTTGTAGATTACAGAGCCACAACAGCTCAATCTAGGAATTCTTTTATAAGTAAAATAAAAATACAGTTAGAGCACTGTGCATTGATTCACAAATCACAGCTCTAGTCCAGGCTGTTTAGCGATGAACTTCACTACATTTATGAACACTGGCTCCAAAAGTGTACAAAAGGAAACACGTCAGATTTACTTAGAAACTAAGCAAATAATTTCTCTAAGGAAAAACAGTATTTCTATCCCATAATTAGGAGTTACTCTTTCATGGAACACATATAACACTGTGTTATATACTTCTACAGAAAAACAGTACAAGTGCTTTTTTAAGGTACTAAAATATTTTATCTGCATAAGTAACTAGTTGGAGTAGTTTTTCATCTTTGGAAACTTTGTGAGGTTTTACAGAAGTAGAGAAGTGTTTTAATTGCTGTTGCTACATAGCACCTCTTGTGAAACTGAGTTTTTGTCTTCACTTTGAATGGTCTAACAAACAGTTTGGCCACAGATTTCCCCGGAAAAAACATCCCCATCCCAAATTTTCTAATTCTAAGAACTCTTTTTTGAAGATGCACTGAGAGAAGTAGGTCATTGAAGGAGAACTGGTTTCTACTTTTCAGAAACATAAGGAATTACTTGATTCTGGGTCTGATTGTTGAGTTCTCCATATATACAACTATTATCAGCTTAACATGAGAGTTGCAAAGTTGTCTCTTACTTAAATCTGAGTTTATAAAAACTCTCAAGAACACTTTCCCTCATGAAAACATTGCAGCTAATTGGAAAATGTACTGAATGAGAATCTTTTACTTCTTTGCAGTGATGCTCTTCTTTACAAGTTTAGAAATCATAAAATTAAGAGATTTTTATATTTCTGTGAATAATTTCAATGTTTTTGTAAACTGGAAGTCCCTTTAATTAGTGACTATTTCTATTCCTTATGCTTTTTCTACTATGCATTTGTTTTTTACTTTGCTGATAGTGCTTCTCATTGCCAAAAATGAATGCAAATACCCCTTTTAATTTCTGGGGATTCAATACTCAAAAAGTGCTTCGTAACACCTTCTAGAAATTCAGGATATTTCCTACTGTTGAGCACCACTAGAGATGCCTCCTGGGCTGATGGTCAAGTGAACAAGAACAGGACACTAGAAATGAGATGCTCCTTGAGAAAATCTGCTTTGGGAGGAAAGACAGTCCACAATGATTTCTCTGTTTGCCTTAATTAAAAATTATTGAGAAAAGGATAAAAGAAGCATAACTGTATCAAGACAACTTACTCTTTTACCTAAATGTATATCTTCCCATTATTGCCGAGCAGCTTGTCTCATTGTCCTGAAAACTTCATTTAGTTTGATCCTCACCACTTTAAGACTGTGTGTTTGTTACTCAATGTCTTGTTAGTTTAGTAAAAAGATACAAATTATATGTATGATATATAAAAAGACCAACATCTGGATAACTAACAGGAAGTTTTGTATTTGTTTGGATATTGTATAAAAGTATGGATAGAGACAACCTTATAGTCAAGAGAGTGTGTTAAAATATATTGGACTTGTGCATTCTATCCATTAAGAATTTGAAAACCTAGCTGTCCAGTGCTATATAAGCCACTGTAGGAGACCCTAAAAGCATATACGTACAATGTCATGTCTAGAAAATGAATTTAAAATTAGTATAAGTAGCAAAACTCATCTAGAATGGAGCAGTTAATTGCTAAATTCTGGCCCTGACAATGATGAAGTAGAGATAATTGTCAGCAGGTGTAGCAGTAATAATCTTTGTAATACTTTACATTTACAGTGTGTAGAAGAATGCAAAGTCCTTTTGCATAAAAGATTTCATTCGATCCTCACGACAGCCTCAGTATTCCCATGGAAGAGAAGAGAGTAGTCTAGACAGGCTCAGTGATTTACTTGAGGTCACACAGCTAATAGGTGGGTGATCCAGGATGCAAACATAGGCCATCACTGCTGAGTAAAATTAGTTTTCTAAGAAAAAAAAATTACACGTATTAGAAGAATACACTCTTCAGGGTTAGGGATCATATTTAATTTATCTTTTCAACAGCCAATTTTGTATTGCATAATTGATTGTGAATTTGTTTAATTTAATTAGGCAGGGAATAAGATATGACAACAATATTAGATTTTCTATGCCTTTAGATTTTGAGACATATAAGAAAGTTATCACTGGTATCACCAAATTTTAGAATGATGACTTGTAGGAATTGAATTCACCAATAATAATAGGCTAAATTCCATTTACTTGAGATTAGAGATCTCTTTGCTCGTGTACTTTTAGAATATGTTATTGTTATTGATAAGCAGTTTAATGTTGTTTTTAACTTTTAATCCTGAATAACTTTTATGTGATTACATTCTCTGTAGTTTTCCATAAAAGTTCTGGGTGTACAAAGGCAACTGCCATTATTAAATTGCCTAAAATGTCGTTTTAGCTACTGTGGGATATGGAATCAAGAAACTGAACTACGAACATCTTAAATTCTTTCATAAGTCATAAGAGAAATTCTAGTTCCTCTGGTAGACAGAAAATAGCTGGGAAAATTGTGCTTTACTGTTTGGCATATGTGATTCTTCTTAGGTTTAGCTACTTTTTCTAATATTCTTAAATTTTATTTTCCAGTTTTGTGAGACTGTGAAGATAATTATTCGTGATCAGAGAAGTGTTCTTGCTTCAGCAGTGTTGGGATTGGCATCTATAGTCTATCTGGGCTTGGCGTCATATGCTACCCTTCCTGCAATTTTTATTCCATTCTGCTTATGGATGGTTGGCTAACTTCATACCCCCACGTCAATGTGTGTATTCTGTGTGTAAATATGTTTATAGAGCACAAACCAGTGTAAGCATCATCAAGAAGAATGTGACCTGTAATGCTGTGTTCCGGATAAAAATGTGATTAAGAATCACGCAAAGTGCTTACTGTGTAAGCCCAAGAACAAAGGCTTTCTGAATCTTCTTAGGCAATTCCGTTTGAAAGCACTGTGAAAATCTTGGAAACATGGCAAGTTGTGATAGAATTTATCATTACAAGAAAACCAGCCCCTGAGATGATGGCCACAGGAGATTATTTGTGTTACTTTTTTCTCCTGTAATCATTGCTCTTCTCTGTTAGGCCTGAATTTGAAAATTGGAAGTCTTATTGAATGAGGTCACTAACTTTACTGTAAACTTATCCTGTTTCATTGAAAAAACTTATATTAAACTGAAAGAATTTCCTTCATTCAGATGAAAACATGTTTGATGATTGGCCCCCAAAAATTCACAATCTGTTTTTTTCATGTATTATATATAATTCCCAATAAGTCAAGAATACTTTCATTACTTGAAACCATATTGGCAAAGTTAAGGTTTAATGATAAAGTAATTGAACAGAATTATAGAAATTTGTGTTTCCCTGTAGAAATAGCTACTATAGCATCAGTTGAACAATTTGATTTGGCTTTACTTAATAGGAAGCCTGACATTCATTTTTTTTTTTTCCTTTTATGTGTCATGTGGTTACTTTGAACCACTCTGAGAGGTAAATGGATATAGGATTGAAGTAATTTGGGCACTTGGAGTGTGTATGTGCCAATTAAATATGCAGATATCCACATACTCTCAAACTGATGAGAGAAAATTTATTTTTTCTTGATTGCTTTATCCTACCAGCGAGGTCATTATAGAGCATCTGTAGAGGTGAATGTAAAAGCAAGTTTAATCCATATTCTTATGCCCTTGCATTTGTGGTGTAACTGGCATATATGTCATTGGATGGTTTATCTTTTAAAGCACTTACTAATGTACTATGTAATTTGCAAAAGCCCTCAGATTTGTATGCTAGTCAGGTTTCTCCATTTCATTACTAAGTATAGCTTACATGCTTAAGAAGGGGGCCATGGCAGTATATAAAACCCAATCAAGTAGGACGAAAGGAAATGACTGTTAGAAATAATTTTTAAGTGTCTTAGTACCGCCAGGCATGTAAATTGATTAGACTCAGGCTGTTTTAATATCAGACTTGAGATGTAGCCATGTTAGAGCAAGCATTCGAGTACTTTTCCAAAATTACCAAATTCTAAAAATTAAGCCACAAGCTAGACTTGCATTTCAAGTTAAAATTGCTTTATAAACTATCAAGAATCACAAAATAATGAGCCACATAACAAATGGTATGGGGAGGGGAGGGTCAGTCACTTAGTGATCCAATCAGAACAAATTTAAGAGCAGATTTTAATTATAACTGATGTTTCGTCACCACTAATTTACCCAACAAATTCAATTGGAGTTTAATAATAATTAAACTTTATGTTTAATCATTTAAATGTTTCAAATAATAAAAACATGAAATGGACACACTACAGAATAAAGGTGTTCTATGGGCCTATTCCAACCACTTAAAATTATTTTAAGTATGTATACATAAAAGTAACCACTATGAGAAATCCATTGTATTAGTGGTTTTTCACTTACTATATATCGCCCTTGTAGCAACTGTTTAAATAAAGTCATTTCTTAAAAATATGGTGTCCTCATAAATAATTAACACCTTTTTTGCAGACTTTAGTATTGCAGGTAGTAGAAACCTCTGTCTGATGTTAAATCTGTGTTCAAAGATAATGATCCCTCATTAAATGCCCAGGGAAGTACTTAAGGTTGGAATAAACATAATTAGTCTTGACTCACTTTGTATCCTTAAAGTGAGATTCAGTTCATCATTTGTTTGAGTGCTTATTATATGCCAGGCACTGACCTGTTGTAATTTCATGGTCTAGAATTAATACTATTTTTCAACTACATTTATTAGAATGTATACAGTGCTGTGAGAATAGAGGGGAAGAAGAAATTAAACCTTCCTGAAGGGTCAGAAATCTATCTGAAGGAGGCAATTCTACCATTAAGCTGAATAGTAAGAGGTGATCTTATCACACTGATGTGTTCCACTACTTATGGGAAGAGGAAACTAGAAGGAAGGTTTTTTCAATTAAATGTTCCACAACACTAGAATTTGTTGAACTTCTTAGGAAAAAAGGAGAGTTTTTGTTTTGTTGTGCTCAGTTTGATTAGTTGCTTAACAAGGTAGAAAAAGGAGCATATATTCCTGATTATGGTTATGGAAAAAATCCTGAGCTATTAATGTATCTCGAATGAATTTCTCTGGGCTTCATTAGTTGAGATTCATCCTTGTAATCCTTCAAGTCCCTTATATTTCTAAATTTCTATTCTAATTTGTGAAATGATAGTGTCTGATGCAGCTTTTTGTTGCTTATTTTGTTTTTTGCCGTACTCAGATGAAGGCCAAATAGGAGTAGCTGGGGCTAAGATGAAATAATGCAAGTGTCAGGTACTATGCATGTATTAGGGATGAAAAGATGAGTGAGACATGGAGCTCTTCCTCAAAGTTTATGGCTTCATAGACATAGAAGTATTAAGACTTCCTGCAATAGAGCTGATTTAAGGCACAGAAAAAGAAGTGGTTGATTTTTTTTTTTTTTTTTTTCTGAGGAAGACCGGCTCTGAGCTAACATCTATTGCCAATCCTCCTCCTTTTTTCCCCCAAAGCCCCAGTAGATAGTTGTATGTCATAGCTGCACATCCTTCTAGTTGCTGTATGTGGGATGCCGCCTCAGCATGGCCGGAGAAGCTGTGCGGCGGTGCGCGCCCGGGATCCGAACCCGGGCCGCCACTAGCGGAGCACGCGCACTTAACCGCTAAGCCACAGGGCTGGCCCCAACAAGTGGTTGATTTTAACTGATAAGGCCAAAATTATAGGGACTGTGCACTGAGAATTGGAAAAATGAGATGTTTTCCAGGGGGACAGACTTGGGCAGGACATTCTACACATTGGGAACAGCATGAGCAAATGTATGGAAACAACATGCCTGACACGTAAGTGTGAGGTACTCTACTATTCAGGGACTGAAAGCATGAAACTGCCTGGGGCATTCAGGCAAATGTAAGTGGTTCCAGGCTAGAGCAGAGTGAGGATGATGAGGAGAGATGTTGGAAAAGGAAAGCAGTGATCAGGTGGTGCAAGTGTAGACCAAGAGGTTTGGGCTTTATGAACAAGCAATGGAGATTTGGGGTTCAGAAAGGTAACTCCCAGAAGTATGGAGGGAGGATGGGAAAATGGGTAAGACAGGACAAGGGGATCTATTAGGAGACTGGCTGTGGTCCTCAGTCTCTCAGATTAGGACCTGTAATTGTGAGGGTAGAGAGCAAACATGTCAAGGAAGTGTCAACAGACTTTAGCCAAATCCTTCTATTTGACTCATGAGTAACTTTTGGTAGGGTGTCAGGGAGGAGTCATGCTTCCTTTCCAGCAGAACAGATCTATGTTCTGCGAGGTATATTTATTCCCAAGGACAAGCAAAGAAGTATGGATTTGTTGTTTAAAAAATTTTTTTTCAGAATATAGATATAGTTCTTATTTTTGCATTTTCTATTTCATACTGTAAAATATCAAAAATGTTTTCCAGTGATATCAAAGTTATGCCAATAGCAAAAGACTTTTGTTATAGATGAGAAGCATATAAGAAATGATGGTTGCCAATCTTTTGTTTTATATGATCTCTTTAGAGAGTTTTACCTAACCTAAATCTGTGAGCTCAACTAGTTTTATATTTGGTATACATGCATGGTAAATAAAATCAATTTTACATACTGTCCTCTCTTGTCTTTGAATTTGAAATACATAAAAGTAGATCACACACATTTTTTTGAGCATGGTAGCCTGAAGAATTTTGCCTCTAAAAGCTTCCTTTACTGAACATAGTTTATATATTTGAAATCAAAACTTTATGTGGATCTGCCTTTAAACTGATATGATCTATGTCATCTACATCTTGAAGCCTACCTTGATTATGTAGAAACGGGTTCTGTGTAATATAAAGTAACAAATCCCTTCTCCATTCCACAAAATCAAGCAACAACAAATAATTAGAGCCATGGGCATGAACTCTATAACCAGATGTGTAATGTGACCAAGGCAGCCTGCACCTTTACTCTATTGGTGGAGTGGGGATGAGGTGAGAGTAGGAGCAAGGCCCAGGGCCAGTCTTGAAATGCATTCACAGCATTGCAAAGGACCACAGAGGTTACTGGGCTGAACCCTTAAACATCTAACCACATTTCAGGTGTGGAAAATCAGGCACAGAAATTGAGATACTTTGTGACTATGCAAATAATCAGAGCCAGACCCAGAACTTGACTCCAGCGTTCTTTCCACTATACCACATTGGCTCCCTGAGGTCTCCCATGAATTGGACAAGCTTTCCTCCAATGAATGTATTAATTTCTTGCAGACCTTCTGCGATTCCAAGCAGGGCCACACAAGAATGAACTAGTTAGAATCTTAGTTCTGCAGTTACTCAATCTAATGAGAAAGAGGGGCAAGTAAATAGATTTCAAACAATGATAAGCTTGTACAAGTGTCAGAAGAGCAGAAAGACAACACTTATACTTGTCTGCTGGGGGCCAGTAAAGGAAAAGGATGTCAAAAAGTTTTTCATTGGTACCTTAATTGAGTTGTAAAGAATACAAATATTTAAAGTGAAAGAGACTTCTCTTTTCCAGGCCATTGCAGGCACCTGGAGCAGTAAAATACAAAGGTACAGACTCATGAGAAGCCATATCACAGCGGGTTTACTGCTAGTCATTAAAAACAATTACCTGTGTTTATGTTGTTGCTTTGAGAGAAAGGTGCCCAGTACTGTTACAAAGAACTCGCCATTCCTCTGAGGAAGAACAACTCTGACTGAGGTGGTGCTAGAGACAAGAGGCAAGATCACAGAGGATTTTACACTATAAAAGTCTGAGGTAGAAAGAAACCATTACATAAACTTTCCAAGTGTCTCAGGTGAGTCTTATGAGCATGCAGTTCTGTGAAACATATGATGAATAGGGGTGGAGTTAGGTTGTAAGGAAAAGAAACATAAGTTTTATGGATGGAGGTTTATTTAAGAATAGATGGAGAGAGCGCCGAGTCCTGACCACTAGACCACCAGGGAGCGTCAAGTGAAATAAGTCAGAGGGAGAAGGTCAAATACCATATGATTTCCTTCATTAAGTAGTGGATAATAACAACAATAAACAAACACATAGAGACAGAGATTGGATTGGTGGTTACCAGAGGGGAAGGAGGGAGGGCGGAGGGCGAAAGGGCTAATTCGGCACATGTGTGTGGTGATGGGTTGTAATTAGTATTTGGATGGTGAACATGAGAACATGATGTAATCCATGCAGAAATAGAAGTATAATGATGTACACCTGAAATTTATACAATGTTATAAACCAATGTTACTGCAATAAACAAAAAATTAAAA